GTGAGAACCGAATTAATTGAATAAGACTTGTATCTCTAATTAAATTCGAGGAAATAAGTGTAAATGAAATGCAGCAAAATATGTATATAATTTAAGAGGGCGTACAAGGAAGTCATGTGGTGCCAAATAAATTTTTTTTTATATAAAAAGTAAAGCACATTTCGCGTTTTAAATCTAATATGCAAGTAGTATTGAAGAACGACTGTAACTCCTGTCCTGTGCAAGGCATTTTCAAACGAGATAAATAATATTTGAAATAAAATAATTCTTTCTTTGGCTATTTCTTGAAACGCTGGATTGGTTGCTTGCGTATTTTCTATATGTAGTATACCGTAAATTTCCCACAGAGTGTTCCACACGAAAGGCTTTTATTCTAGTCCTCCTTCCTCGCGTTATAAAGAGATACCTTTACAGTTTAATTTTAATATAACCCTTTTTTGTGTAATTTATCCAACGATTATTACTCTTGTATGAATAATCGTTAGACAAACATAAACAGCGCTATAACACGAAATCAAGCTATGTCAAATCATGTTGCCCATGTCTTAAGGAATAAGTGTACTAATCAAACATCTTGGAAATCTCGATGGAGGAACTGAGCTATTAAAGTCTTGCTTGTGAAACCAATTGCGCAAATCAGAACAGAAGTGGTAGTTCGAAATCAGGCCTGCGTCTCCTCGACACAGAAAGCCGACACATCTAGCAGTTGGTCAAATAATGTGTCATCTGGGAATGACAGCTGGCGCCCAACTGGCTAGTCTACAATAATCATCTCGAAAATGAAAGCGACGCTGGTTTAATTTTTGACAGCGTTGACGGGACTAAAGATTATATAATCTGCTGGCATATAATGGGAAAAGATTTGAGTGAAGGAAAGATAAGTGATATTTTAGGACTCCCTATTTATGACCTACGTTTGACCAGCTGTCGGTACTTAGATTGTTTCCACCGTTCTGCAGTAAAATTTTTAATATTACCCCAGGTATTCGTTGTTTTCGAAAATACAACGCTTCAGTTTCATAATTCATCTGGTGATGCAAGATTTAAAGCCGTATTATGATGATCACTCGAGCTATAATGTAAACTACCTCACCATTGACTGTTGCTTTAAGACCGCTGAGCACTGTTAGTTCGACCTGGGTGGCATAATTCACAAGTGCAAGTGCACATTAGTATCGCCACTGAGGAGGGGGGTTCAAAAATGGACCAATAAGCTTCTATTGCTCTTGTGACGCTGAATCTTTGAAACTGTGCATATAAGCACATGTTGTTTTTAACGTTTAATTAGTCCAAAGGGGCTTTTGTCCCTGAAGGACTATTGATTTCGTTTTGCGATTTTGCGTAGGAACCCTATAAGCGACATATCACTTTTCAAATCGTTGCCATCAAATACTATCGACCTGTATTATATCTGAAGAAATTAAATAATGAAGAATCTGCATAAATGTATGTATGTTTCTCGCATGGTGATAAAACAACATTACTTAGAGCCATCCAATTTTGAATGACGTAATCCCACTGCGAATATGGGCATCTGAAAGCCCAAATTTAAAATTTGGAATTTGTTATATTATCGATTTCATATTTCGTAAAACGAATTTTTGATTAACAACAATTTAAAAGCGAGCAAGGGCAACATTCTACGGGGGGGGGGGGAAACAATATTATCTCCACTGCGGGAACTGTGCATCAGGAAATTTTAAAGATATGCTCATTTTAAAATTATTTTGCGACATTGCTCTTGAACTGCATTTTTTGGTTTAAGTGCAAAGAACACGCTATCTAATAAATAAAGGTAACACACAAGACGTTAAAAAAAAAACGTCCCTTTCGAGTTAATTTAAAATCTGAAACCTTTAACTTTTTTTTTTTCTTTTGTTGTTGAATAAAATCAAAACTCTAATCAAGAAGAATTATAATTTTAAAAGTTCCGGCATTTTTTCACTTGATTTTAGTTTTAAAAAAATTAAAAAATAAATTTAGGCAGAGTACGTTTGTCACTAAGATGAAATGATAAAATACTTTAGATGCAACTTTTTAATGCCGCTCTCTACAGTAGTACAGAGATGCTTACTGTCATATCGTTGCACCCCGGTTGGAATGGTGAAGAAGGCTTCGACGTTTATAAGTGTAGTGTGTCTTTGAGACATAGAACACCCAAAATACAAGGCGAGCTAAAAGCCCTCTCCAGTGATTTGTTAGTAGGGGAAGAGGTGGGAGAACATTCGACCTCTCCCTTTCATCAAAACTGAGAAAAGAATTGGGTAAAGTCTTATTGTCACCTATAAGGTGTCCATGCCAACGACAGATACAATTCTGCATTCCTGGTGACGATAAAATTTGTGGACCTATTGATATCCTACTCTCAGGCAAGTGAGATAAGTCACAATTCATAAAAATTACGTCTCTAATGCAAATTATGCCCACCAGCGGCCGAGCGGTAAAAGCCCATGAACACTGGTAGTTCGGTCCGGAATTCGAGTCCCGACGAACGGGCTGGCTGCATAGGCGTTTTCGTGGTTTTCCCCATGTGTAACGCGGATACGAGCCAGTTTCCCTTAAAAAGATCTCAATAAGGCATTCCTCCCTCTCCGTGTAGTGCCTAAGGGCGGAGCACGTAATAAGAAAAAAAAGTGCACATTGTAAAAAAAAAAAGTACTTTTTGCAGAAGTGTAGCGAAGTGTATAGTGTGTATTAAGAAAGAAATATATTCATTGAAATGAAAGAAGCTTTTACTGACGAATTTATAAGGTATTTTCTCCCTCCTTTCTGCATGCCTTCGTGACAAAACGGTAGGACATTCGGCACGTATTTGAGAGGTCCAGGTTCGAGTCCCGGCGAGGGCGTTGCTCATTTGTCCTGATTCTTGCTTTAAAAATAACCTAATGACTCTAGAGTGGCGGCCGAACTAAAAGGTAGTGGATGATTCTCAACACCAGCATTTGGCTATAATCCTCAGTCTTCCTTTAAAAGGGGGAGTATATACGGTATTTTCTTCTTCCTTTCCGTATACCTTTGTGGTGTAACGGTAGCGCACTCGGGGTGTATTCGAGAGGTCCACGTTCGAGGCCCGGCGAGGGCATTGCTCATTTTTGGATGTCTTTAGCATCATAATAACCTAATGACTCTACAGCTTCATATCCAGGACAAAATACAATAAAGAACTTACAAAAATAGCTTCAAATTTTAGAGATCAGCTTGCTCATTGTTTTCATAACTTTACTTCTCTTTAAATTAACTGCTGAGGATATTCGATTAAAATACAGAACGCACGACTTAATGGATGTACACCACTTGTACCATTTAAAGCGCTTTTAAGATCAGTTTTCCTCGAGTGTAAGTTACTTGTAACTCTCAAAACATGCCGAGTAATAACTAGATGCTTACTAAAAGAAAATAAAATTTCTCATTATAAATGACTTAGTCTCAATGTTCTAAATAAAACAAAAACAGACATAAAAAAGCACTAGATAAATCTCATAGGTTTGATTCTTAGCCAAGCATCGAAGCGTGTGAACTAGTTACAGCGATACCGTCACGAAAGGAGCACCCAAAAAGCAATTATGCGCTTCCGCCCTTTGTGTTGTGTAACTTTTCAACGCAAATTCAAGACTTAACCTGGACCTAAACAAAGGCAGAAAAGTAAACTCGGCTTCATTCTGCCATTTCCGAGCGCCAACAACAGCACCCTCCAATGACTAAACGAAAAGTGAAAACACGTAGCCATAACTGTAGTGTGTCGAACAACAACATAATCGCAACAATTAGCCGGCAGAAACGGAGCGTGGTGCACCAAAAGAGCAAAGAGCAACCGTGCGCCATTAACCGCGCTGTGTGATCAGAATGTTAAATAGGACGCCTTTGTTGACGTTTGATGTTTTTCTCTTTTCATCTGGGTTACTAGTGTGGTCTTTGGTTGGGCGGATGAAGTAACGAGCCTGGAGTCAGGACGGATTTCGTTGTACTGGGATCATTCGCTACAAGTCGTCACGTATCTTGTCCAAATTTAAAACAAACTCTGAACAATTAAACTTACTAATTTGTTTCATAATGAACTGAATATTTTAGATTATGAACTACTGTAATCATTCAAGCACGTAAAATCTTATCTAACGGCATGTTTGTTTTTGTATGAACGGATGTACACAAGGCATAACAACTATGACAATAACAGTTCATTTAACAAACAGAACTCAAGAAACTGAACTAAACGTAACCTAATAAGCAAATGAATGAAAGGCAGAAATCAAATGCAGCTTTATCATTAATTCAGGAGAGGTCAAAAACCTCAGATCGCCTACTAAGTTAGTAACCAATACAGCTGTGTTGTTATTGTCTTGTCCATATTACATGGAACAATGATTGCCAATGTCTACTGTGAAGAGAGGTTGGACTTCCAACTTTCCACCCCCAATTTTGAGGAAGAGCATTCAGGGGGTGATCTGGGGGTCTCCCAGCGCTATTTCACCAATCCATACGAGAGGACTTTCAGCTCGCCGCATATTTAGAGTGCTGACATGCCGCACCGACACTGTACATTTACAAACATCCATGTCTTCTCCGGGATTCAAACCCGGGGTCTTCGGTACCGTCGTAGGCTTCCCTAGGCTTCCCCAACCACTGCCTCGCCGAGTTGGTAACCAATTCTGCATGGGTACATCTATACCTGGGTCGGAAGCCAACTCAGCGGTTTACCTCCCCCAACCACTATACCGTCTGGGCGACAATACAACTGTGTGGCAGTTTCTAGTAGCAGTGTAGTTTAGTTAGAGAAGGAAAGCCGCCCAGATGGTATACTGGTTACGGAAGCCGGCTGCGACACCAAACGGCCTGGGTTCGAATCCCGGAGAAGGCATAGTTGTAACTGTCAGTCCCTTCATAGGAGGCAAAGGTGGCCCACCTACTGGGTGCCTCCATAATTAAGTGACCACCGCTTCTGCCTTTAGTCTACGATGACTAGTGCCCGCCATTGTCTACGATGACTAGTGCTAATGTCCACGATGGGTATGCCAATGTCTACGATGACTAGTGCTAGATGTCAGCATCTCGTCATGATTAGTGCTAGATGTAAGCATGTATCTAGCATCTAGGACTAGTCTATGATGACTAATTCCCGCCATTGGAAAAAAAAATAATGATGATCTAAAAAAGTGTAATCTTTAATTTATCGAAGCATTTGCAATAACGCTAGCTTTAGTTTACGCATGCGCTATGGTTCTACAACATCGCCATGTACAAGCAAAACTGTATGAACCCATTACCTAATATATACGAGGAAGACACATTCCATTCATCTAAAACATAGTGAACCTTCTCTGTGACGACCAACCACGAATCTGTAGGATTATGTTATATATAGGCAGTCCTCTTGGAGAGGTTACGTCCAACAGGGCGTTTATGTTTTGAAAAATACTGATAATTTTCAGAAGAGGTCGCTTTATGGAAGTGGACATGGCAAAAAGGTTCGTTGCATATTTTCTTTATTTAACTGAACTTTGTTAATGCGGGCTTTTCACAACTGATGTTAAAAGTATTTGTTTCGATTCTAAATTAAACTAATGAAAAGTAATTTTATTTTTACTTAATTACATATTACATGAAGGCGACATTTAATTTATAGAATGTCATTTTTCTAGGTGTTATTCAAGGCGGGAACTTCTGGGTTTCTCTCAAGCCCATTCAGTGATTAACACCCCAGCTAAGTGTTATCTGTTGGTGATTAAGATACTGTAGAGGCCATTAAGTGTTTAGAGATAATTAATCGGGGGGTAGAAAAACTGCGGCTTTACCGGCTTCGAATTACGGATCCTTCAGAGCAAGATGGGTAAGATAACCCTTTACACTATACGATAGTTGACGGGAGACGGATACACCATCATTCTACCAAGAGGGTAGGTGATAATGTATCGCATCCCCACATATCTAGCATTAGGAGATACATCAAATAATATTGTCAGATATTGTTGCCTTTATGTCTCAGGGCATAATTACATGATTTACATAATTATTACAAAATTTCAGATACTTAAATTACTTTACAGCAGAGCAATACACTTACTAATCGCACACGTTACAAATGCACTTTACAGATTTAACAGAAATTTACAGTATCCAAATACAGGAGTAGTACCGAGAGCTAAACTTCTAGAAACTGAGCGAATATTACATTCTAACTGATGTCTTAACCACCTCCCCTCTCCATTAAAATAATAATAATAATAATGTATATAAAGAGGTTTTGCAAGCTCGTCGGTAATCTAGGCGATCTTTGCCACCAGATGACGTTGCTTTACAATAAACTTGCGGAGGATTGTTACTGAGGGTTTTAAGGTGGTGTTCTCTGGTAAGTAGGCAGGTGATATGATAATAGTCTGAGCTACCAATTTTTCCGCAGACACAAAGGCTGGTGTTACTGTTCCCTTCTGTCTTAAAATATTCGGGAAAGGGACCATGTCCTGTAATAAGTATTATTAACTGCGGGGAAGTGATATTCTGTTTGTCGTCTATTTGTATGATGTAGTAGTATGTGTGGCGGCCTTGTTCACATTCATTCCGCTCTATCTGCCATTTGATTTGGCCTTGCGTTTCAATTTTTCTTCAAGTATGAGCGTGGCAAAGTGCTGGTGGGGATAATGAATATTTCCTGATGTTCCATCTTGGTGAATCTGTCAGCTGTTTCGTTTCCACTCATCCCAGCATGCGCCGGTTACAACGGAAATTACTTTATACCGAAAATTAATATCCGGATATATCGAAAATTCAATTTCGTAATCTGGAGCTAAGATTTAATCTTCTCAAATAAATTACAGTGATCAGATGTAAATACAAACAATTTAACTAACTTATCAATAGGAAAGGAATCCAAAATAGATATAAAGACGATAAAAGTGCGTTATCGAGAGCATGGGTGTTTTTGCGAACTTTAGACGCATGATTGCAAGTGAAATAGAAAAGAATTTCTTGATAACCTTCCTCAAATTTCTCGAAACAGAGGAATTTGGTGAATTTATTTAGTGAGAACCTGTGATTTCAAATTATTTATTGTTTGTGCAAAAAGTCAAAAAACACAATTTTTTGTAAAAATAGCAATATTTCATAATTTCTGATAATTTTACTTTTTGATTTTTAGTAAAGAAGCTGTGAGTAAATTTATCATTCTTAATTTTGTTATTCAAAAGAGTTCACCTTATCTTATTAAAATGTCATTTTTGGAGAAACTTCTGACACAATACATTTTGATAGGAGGGTTGGATAGTTTTATCAGTTATAGAAATTAAATTTCAAATTAAAATTAAGGATCGTATGTTTTTTTCATGATGAAATCCCTTGGTTCCGTCCGTATTAATAGACTGGATATTAAGCGACGCAAAAAAATTCTAATTATTTGGACTCGAAATATCCAAATGTTTTGCTACAGAGGAAGAAAATAAAGAAATTAATTTCAAATTTAACTTTTTATTTTAATAAAACGTCTTATATTTTTCAATTTTCATTTCTTTAATAAAAGTCATAGCACTTTTCCAATTTGCTGATCAGAAATCTATTATATATTTGTTTTACGCAAATAAAAAAAATAATTCCTTCGCTTAATTTTTGCATAGTAAAAATTAAGAGAAAAATATGTGCCTTCAGAACATAAAGCAATGACTAAATTTTATTGAACAGAGTGCATTTTGATTAACACAAGTGAGGAGTGAATGATCTCCCTGCAATGGCAAAAGGAATGCAAGGGACAAAACACCGCTTACTGGAATATCTATGTATGTTCAAATGTCGAATAAAAACAAAATGTCGAATGGAAATAAAATAATGGACATTAATCCTTCTCTCATGTAATTTAGTTTAAAAATATCTTCTTCGAAGAAAATAAATTGTTAGGGTGATTAGCTGAGATTTATGCTTCCATTAGTAGGGTTTTTAACATGTGCTGCCATCTAGTGAGAAGAAATGGAAATATTAAATGCTAGTTTCTAGATGCTGATAAACATATTTTGTAAATTTATAAAAGATAAAAACACATGTAATCAAAACGAATTACACTATGCTTCCGTTATGTAAGCACTGGTTTAAAAAAGGAACTTTTTTAAATCAATATTTCCGCTAAGCCCATCTTTTATCTCGATGATTAAAATTTACAACATATAAATATGGACAAATTGGCAGTCAGTCAATGTATAGTGAATGTGGCAGGGAAAAAATCTTTACTGTTTTAGAAGAAAACAAAAAGATTAAAAAAACAAGTTTTATGTATTATGAAAAATATTAGATCTTGCAATATATTTAGGTGATATTTACCTTTAAACCACATAATTCTGAATTTATTTGTTGTGAAAGACGATTTCAAATTACATATGAATACATAAAAATATTTTTAAAACATAATACCAATGAGATCTTAAGCAAATCTAGAAAACACTATTTTAAAAGTATCTGAATATTCTTACGATTTTAATTACAAGAAAGACAACAAATGATACAAGAAAATCGGTCTTTTAAGCATTTTAAAGGTCTAAAGACAGAACAAATAGGCGCGAAACGACCGTAATTTTGAATTAATTTAAATTAACTAAAATTTCGAGTATGCATAATGAAGAACATTTCATATATTCAACTAATTAAAACATAAACTCAAATTGCTTTTAATGGAAGTAGCCACAATTTCAAAGCTTCCTTCGGGAACATGGCTATTCGGCGGCCGAACAGTAAAATCAGTAAGCACTGGTAGTTCGATCCGGGTTTAAATTACGCAAATGGGATGGCTGCATGGTAATTTCTGCGGCTTTTGCCAAGTGTAACATGAAATACGATCCAGCTTGCTTTAAAAATCCTCCACGAAGGTATTCCTTCCTTTAAACAGGTAACCTTCGAGTGCTTTGCAGTAAACCTAGTAATGCAATCCTATCCAATCATTCGCTACATTTGGCTAGTAGCAAATGCATTGGACAATACGGATCTAGACTAACGTACATAAAAATACAATAACTAATTTTTTTAAAGGGTTCTGTTAATGACGCTTTGGAAGCAATGGGTAAAAGGTAAAAAATAGCTAATGATGAATCAGAAATTTTAGGAAACCAGAAACGAAAATATACTCTCGCCGCACGTTTCTTAAATGCAGCCACTACTTGATAAGCAACACAGTAGTATCTTGGTTATGTCTTTTTTTGTTTTACTTTCAAGAATTTTAAATGTAGTATGATAGGAAAAGCAATGGTTTAATTCGACTTATTATTTTAGTTGCTTTTTAAATTGTAAACACACCAGTTACTTAGCCATCCTTATGTTTTTCTAATTGACAGCTTTTTTAGGAAAAGGAATGGTCTTTTCTAACTGCCAAAAAATTATTTATCAAATACATATTTTACACTTTTATAAGTATTTACACCGAAAATCAGTAAACCTATTTCTAAGCAGATTTTCGTTTCTTTTGTTCTGGTTGAAATTTCGTGGAAATGCAAACCAATTACGGCCTTTAGTAACTTCAGACCAAAGTACCAGTTTTATCACAGGCTCTTTTCCGTTGCATTTTAATTCCATAAGCGTATATTTTAAAACTGAGTTCAAAACGAAGGGCATTACGATTTGAGTATAAAAACTGTTAGAATTTGGAATAAAAATAGGTTTTGTTTAGTTTGTTATGACAAAGCATGCTGGGGTCATCTGCCTAAGGAAAGAGATTCGTGGAAGATTTTCTAAGGAAAACTGGCTAGTATACATACGAGGAAAGATTCGAACTTAGTTTTTAAATTCACTTTTATGCTGCGAATATCATGTACTATGCACGACGTTTTCCGGCTGTCTGAAGTTGGGTCGCTGAGGAGGCATCACAGCGTAGATCCGTGGTACGTCACAGCGTAGACACGATCTGAGGAGTCTGAAGTTGGGAGCTCTGAACGGGCTGGGATTGAGGGGGGGGGTGAGTGAAGGGTGTGACCAATAGTCACGTAGACTTCGAGAAGTAAGGTGAAATGTAGGTAGGTCCTGGGAAGACCTGAAGCATAGATAATTAAGACACACAATTAAGTGGGGAAGTTTTGGTTGAACATGTGGGCTGCCAATGGTCTTCA